AAAAAAGTTTTGCATAAGTATATCTTATCTTGGTATTAGAAAATACTATTTTGGTCAATCAAACTGGGCAAAGGCCCTTATCAAGTGGTTTAAAAAACGGATCATCTGGATCAGTGAATCGGTAATCCGGATCGTAAATCGGCCAAATTGATCGGATTAAATCTTAATAAAAATTCAAAAAAACTATTAAATTTTATTATAAATGTTGCTTTTTAGGAATTCAATAAGAAATCGGAGTACTACATTATTAACTTTCATTTTTTTTATTAATATTTGAATATTGAGATGTTCTTTGCCTGTATGAACTTAATTTAACCATTAAATTATATCATACAAAAAAAAATCATAAAATTATCATAGAAAAAGTATATAATCATACATGGACTACAATAAAGAATGGTTAAATTGATGATAAATGACCACCAAAATCTCGAATCGACGAAGAACCCTAATCTGTTAAAAAAAAAAAATCCAAATTATTACAACTTTAATAGAGTTTTTTATGTTTTATTTGAGTAAGTAAATTTAAATTTTTTTGGTGAAAGATACAGATGGTGAGCACCCTATTATTATTTTTAATATTTTTTTCTTTTTTATCATATAATTTAATTACCACCATCGAGCGTATACCGTCGGGTACACCATCGCGGCTTTTACGTTTAAAGTCAAACGTTCATTAATACCTCACGTGTTAGTAAAAAACAAAGGTGTATTACATGATAATTATCACATTATTAAACTGCTTTTAAGCGGAGGTTTTAATAATGTAATTATCACATTATACAGTGTTTTAATCATTCCCACAAGTAAACGTTTGGGTGGGAATAATAGAAGGGGAGGTGATAACGGTTGCGTGACTTGCGTGGTGGGAATAATAGACGGGGAGGTGATAACGGTTGCGTGACTTGCGTGGTGGGAATAATAGAAGGGGAGGTGATAACGGTTGCGTGACTTGCGTGTCGAACATTAAAAAATCTAGAGTGACATTGCCGCCATGGTAAGTGCGGTTCGGCAGTGGAACACGTTGGAGTCACAGAGTTCCGGCACTGTATAAGCGTGGTCCGGCAATACATGTTCTGGAGTCACAGCGTTCCAATAGTTGTCAAGGGCGGTCCGACTATAGAACTTCTAAGTCATTGGGCTTCGGCAGTTGCAAAGAGCGATTCGGCAGTACTCATTTTCGGTCCAACAAGGCGATGTTGCGCTCCGACAATGTGCTACTGGGGCCCGAAAGTCAATGTCAAATCTGGCCAAATTGATTTTTGTGTATGGTGGCATTTCCATCTAAACGAATGAAAGTTTGTTTTGGAAAAAAAAGTGAGAGCAAACGTTATGTTGGGGGTAAGTTGTATATAAAATATAGTCTTGGGGTTTTTTTGTAATTTTCCCAATTAATTAAACTCGAGAGGTCAGATAGAAATAGAAAGCTCCTAAACAAGGTTTTTAAAAATAGATTGCTGATTTAGATCACCCATCGGCGTTTCCGATCCGATCTGGGGGATCAACGATCGGAATAGCAGAGAACTAGCCATCAAAAAATTAAAAAAAATAGAAAAAAAGAAGGGTTGGTTCTAACTAGTTCTCCGACATGATAAGTGTTGAGTTTATGTGATTTTTAAAGGCTTTATGAGAGCTTCTATAAACATTTTATATAGTAAAACATAAACTCAGTGGGAGTGAGGTCCTCTTGTGGAGCATATTAAGCAAATGAGATTTGTCGATACTCGGACTAGGCTCGACGTGCTAAGCCAATTGAGTTTGAAAAAATCCAAGATACCTAGGCCTAGGGATTTACCGAGAATGGTTAGTGGGTTAGCCCTTGATGAGGTTGTAGTATGCCCGGATAAGAGCCGATAGACTGAATCCAAGATACCTGAAGGGTTTAGTGGGTTAGCCCTTGATGAGGTCGAAGTATGCTCAGATAAGAACCGACGGACTGTGTAGCCCATGTATGTGATGAATAGCCTTTAGAGACAAGGCTAAAAATGAATAGCCTTTAGAGACAAGGCTAAAAACCTCATCATTATATCATCACACGGTATGTGATGAATAGCCTTTAGAGTCATTGTTGCATCATGGTCTGGAGGACCATGATTTTTTGTCTCTAGGGGAAAACCTGAAATCCATAAATTGGGATTGCGTCTCCTAGTCTATTTGGTTGACTTTAGTGGTTCAATCATGAGCCCCGGCAGTGCATTATGGGTCATGAGAACTGCTGTGTCAATTTGAGAAAGTTAAGTGGATCGTAGTCCGTAGTTGAAGGTGGAGTGCTAAATTTCTAAATCTAACGGATCCGATTCCCACCAAATCTGATTAGTTTTAATTAATTTTATAATATATAATTTTTAAAATGTTTATTTGAATTTTTGTAAATCTTATGATATTTTATTTTAGTCATTTGGATTTACAAATTAAGAAAAATTAATTGTCAATGCTTTAAATAAATTATAAGATTTAAAAATTATGAATATAAAATAAAAAAGTGCGGTTTGTATAGAGCCGAGGTTCTAAACAATCAAATTTGAGCACATCTTCAAATATTGTCGAAAAATATAGTTTCAATGCCATAAAGTTTTATGATAGCCTTAACTTATATTTTCATCTTTAGTTATAAAATTTAAAGTTTAAAAAATAGTGTAGATCAATCAGATCTATGAAAACTTGAAAATCTTAAAACTTGACGGTTGAAAAATGCATTACAAGATGCCCTATTTCCAAAACTTGAAATTCATTTTATTCTCATGTTCATGAATCTTAATGTCGAGATGATCAATTTAATGATAATCAAGTATCAAAACGACCTATTCTAATGAATGTTTTGAAGTTGGCTCTAATTTGATTGTTTAGAACTTAGGCTCTATATAAACTTTTCCCAAAATAAAATATTTTCTAAAATTATATGGGACATTCCATAAATATGGGGGTCCAATTTAAAACATGTGAGATTGGGTGGGGCTAGGGTTTCACGTCCCACCCATAAAGACTAACTTGTTCTCCAAGTTTGGGTGGGGCCAAGGTTGCACGTCCCACCTATAACGACTAACTTGTTCTCCAAGATTGGGTGATAGTTATCGCCTTATTTGTTTGATTTTATTTTGGGTATAGCTAACTTGCATAATAAGATTAAATATTTGAATTGTTTGGTAAATCTTTGAATTAAAATTGCTCGATCCAAAAAATAATGATTAGATATATTAAAATAAAAAGTAAGATATATACTTTATTTATTTAAATATTTGATGGGAATAGATATAAAAAAAGAAGATTAAGCTCTAACTCATATCTATGAATCTTAATAGTGGATCAAAAAGATCGATCGCTCAAATCTCTCACCCCACAAGTTTTTCTAAGTCGACGGTTAAGATTTCACCCAACGAATTGAAACAAACCCCAAGGTATAAAAAATCTATAAAAAGAGACTATTCCATTACATAAAATCTCTACACCTATTCTATCTTCTCTTTATAATAGTTTATCTCCGTCTTTTTTATAAGGGTTTATCTCTCTCTCAAAGATCTCTCTATAGGTGACATGCCCCACCTAGAGCTTCAAGATCTCTCTCAAGTTTTTCTCTCCCTCAAAGATCTCCCTATAGAAAGCATACCCCACCTAAAGCTTTAAGATCTCTCTCAAGTTTTTCTAAATTCAAGATCTCTCTCTAAGTTTTTCTAATAAGTTCAAGATCTCTCTCTTTCCAAGGGTTTATCTCTCTCTCAAAGATCTCTTTACAAACGGCATGCTCCACCTAGAGCGTCAAGATCTCTCTCAAATTTTTTTAATAAGCTGAAGATCTCTCTCAAGTTTTTCTAAAGAGGGCACGCCTTAACCAAAATCTCTCTCTAACCAAAAAAAAGCATGCCCAAATATCTCTCTCAAGCCAAGAGAGTATGCCCAAATCATCTCTCTCTCGTTTCTAAGTGATACAGCCAAGTTAAAATTAAACTTGTGGTAGTTTGATTTTTGAGCAGCAAAGGGATGATCCCATTGCTCGTAGATCTCTCCCTCTCTCTTTAATTTAGCTCCCTCTCTCTCCAAAGATCAAACCAAAAAAACACGAACAAGACTAAGATATCAAGGCATTAGATAGTTAGTTCTAGATCGAGATCCATATGCCGCTAAGAGAGTTTTGCTATAAATAAAAGAATCAAAATACCGATCATAAATCCCAAGCACCATTAAAAAGAAAAATATCTAAATCTTTATTTGTGATTTATTCTTCTCTTCTCATAATGCAATAAGTCTTGTTTTGATTGTTGAATAAAGAATTGCATTTGAAGAGGTAACAATTGATAACCGGTTTTTATTTGTTTGGTTGCTTGTAATAAGACATTGTAAGTAATTTTTGCCGGTATAGAAAAATAATTCAATATATACATAGTGCTTACTCACATAATCCAACTTTCAATAAGAACTAGGTAAAACCAACTATTTCATGGGTTTCCCTTAGACCTGAAAATTTCAAATCTAGATTGGACGATTCCAATCTTGATCAGCAATTTTTAAAACCTTGCTCCGAGATAATCACGAGCTTAATTTCATAATCATCAAGGGCAAAGGCTTTTCACTATAATCATCAATCTTTATAGTGCATATCCTAGTTTAATTAGAGTTTTTCGATTGCAATAAAAACGACCTCAGATCATCCACATCCAATAATTTCACAGATAAAGAATAGCAAGGCCCACTTCTCGACATCTACATTAATTGTGATACAAATACTCAATTTAATTTTGAAATCTACAATAACACCAATTTGCTCATTTAATCAAAGAGAGAGATTTACCTCCTAAAAAAATAAAAAAAGTTTTGGATAAAGAAATGAACATGAGTTCCACTTCACTGGTTTCTTAACTTCCTGGTTCAAAAGAGCGACATTCAACTTTTCCATGACATGAAATGAGAAAACGTTCAGGATCAACTAAATAATATATGCATTTCCCATACGCTCATAAATAAATAAAATAAAGGAAAATATGATAGGCTCCATCAAAATGTATCACTGGCCGAGAAATAGTTTTATCAATTCAGCAAAAGCAAACAGAATCCATTAAATCCGGTTCAACAAAAGTAATGTACCTTATTTACATTTACTCATGAAATGGAACACAAAACGAGCCACAATCATATGCTTAGACATCCCATCAAAATATACCGATAACAACTGCAACAAAAATAAGTAAATACATTCCAGTAGAATTTTAGATGCGGGTTTGATAATGGCTTAGAACTCTATTTTAAGTTTAAAAAATCTTACAACTTTGGAGCAACTATTGGTTGCCTTCTCTATGATTTCCACTGTGTTTCTGGTTGTTTTGCTGCTGCAGCTGATAAACAGAGAGCTGAGATGGCTGTTGAGGCATCTGAAACATTTGGGATTTCATAGCCAAGTTGTTGGCTTGGCCCTCGGATAGCTGTGCAGTGGCCAATTTTAAGCGCTGAACCTCCTCTGTCAAGGCCTCATTCAGCGCTAAACAAAAAAGGAAGAGATAAAATAAACAACTAGTTCAATAATATATATCAGATAAATAGGTTGTGGGTTGTGGGTTGTGGGAAAATTATACAGAGAGTCGACTCCAGTGTTTATATCACAACAATTACTAAGAAAGGAGCCTTTCATTTGTCAAAGAGGCATAAAGCTGCATATGCATGTTAAAAACAGGAATGGAAAAGTTATAACCACAGTTTTTTTTTTCATTATTTTGATCAATCTATATTACTAAATGAACACTAATACCTTTTCATTCTGTGCAATGTCCATAACCACAGATGAAATGTCAAAATTATGTTCACTTTGTTGCAATATATTAGCAATTGAAATTTGGTGCTATTAAGAAATTGATGGCGCTCAAAATTATGTGAGATAATATATTGAAATATGGGTGCTATTAAGAAACAGATGGTGTTCAATATTCTGTGAGATAGCAAAGACCCTCGTACAAAGTAACTGCTTGAAAGACAATGGAATTGTGTTCACAATCCCCAAATGGTAGTACAAGGACACTAAATTCTTGTCTTCTACTCTTTCTTTTCTAAAGAGGGAAGTTGTCGATAACATCAGATTCCTGGTGTGTTAGGCACATATTAGGGATCAAACTGGCATTTGGGTCAAGCGCCATTATAAAAGCACAAAAAGGGAATCTGTTTTGTTCTGAAATCCGAATAGCAGAAAACAGAATTAAGAAGTAAAACTTGGGGCTCTGATTCCGTAACCTAATGGTTAGGAACTTCTAGCTTTGCACCAAGGGCACAGGTTTGAATCCCAAGCTTGTCCATTAAGAAGAAGAACAACAACAATTAGACGAATTGAGAAGCAAACTCTGCTATTACATAACCCATCTAACAACCAATTTTACACATGAAACATAAAATTGTTAATATCCACTTGTACCTATAAGAAGAAAAAGACAAAAACACAGCTCATTCCAAGAACCACATCAAGGAATGACCATGGCAACTAACAACGATTTTTCTTGAGTTTTTTGAGATATCTCTCACTTCTACTTCATTCCGACATGTGTAACGAGAAATGAACATAACAGCAGATACTTTCCAATGATGTAGTGCTACTTGATGATTTATTAGTGAAAGAAATTTAGTTTAAACTAATAAACTCTTTGTTACCTATAAAAAAAAGAGAACAATATAGCAAATCCATGAAAATTATAGAATATAGACTATGATCGAACTTGAAGGAAATCAGAGAGAAGCTAATTCATCAAAAAGATTAAGTGGATGGAACTAAAGGAACTTGAGATGCAATACGAGATGAGCAGACCTCATTTGCATAATGGATATATTAATGGCACTTGAATTTATTCAAGATTTTGTGCTACAAAGCTACATCAACTTTCTATCAATGGCTTATCATGGTTTTATTCTTCACAAAGAAAATAAGCAAGGAAAACTTTGGCACATACTCCAGAATATGTCAGCGAGTCTGGGGATTTCAAACACATTGGAGAAAGGTGCAGTACTCCACTAGTTCGTAAATTTCATTCCACTTTTGGAAAACTTGGCCAGGTCAACTTGGACTCGAGTCGATCAAGCTCAGTAGTGCAACCCCCCACTTGGGTAGGGGAGTACTATTCCCTACCCAGGTGAGTTAGTGTAGTAACTAGTCTGACGTTGAAGAAACTTGGAGGATTTCTCACAGGCTTGCTATGTCTATCAAAAACTCGCCAAATACAACAATTTATCCACATTGGGAAAGGAGGGATACTGGGGGGGGAGAGGGATAAAATTTTAAGGACTTCGGAAATCAAAAATTTTGATCTAGTGTTTGGCCACACTCATGATTTTTTTGCAACCATAGCTTAATCTCGGTTGAAATTTGTTACCCAAGCTTATTTTTAAGTTGCTCATTGAATCATAGGCTTACTTATCAGAAAACCCACAAAAGACCTCGGATTCACGAGATTTTGAAAATCAGAATATTATTCAACCAAGAATTTTAATTATTTTTTAAATATTCAAAAACAATGTAAGCCAACAAAATCAATATTTTTTTTATCATTATCCATTTGTATATAAGTTTTTATGATCTCTTATTTTCCTAATTTTTCTATATTTTTCCGATTTTAGGAAGTTTCATTGGGCCCATTGCAAATTCTGGAGTGAGTGACTTTGCTAACACTGTCACTCCATCAAGAAATAAAAATTTCAGACGTTAGCAGAGTACAAGGTTTGGATACCACACATGTATAAAAATTCACATCGAATACTTCAATGAGGTTGCTTTGGTTAAAAAAGAAAGAAAGAAACATTAGGATAACAAACAGTAAAATATGCCATAGGATATGCATAATGGGCATCATGAGCACTTTCCAATCAAACTTTACATGGAAACATATTGATGAGATCAGGAAGTGCTTAATGCAACTTATTAACAACTTTAATCAAATAAATTCTAGTACCGCAATGTTCAGTAACACTTTTCCACAAAAAGCGACTTATAAAACATGAATTGCAACCTGTCGAGAAGCCAGATTGTCAACCATCAAATGAAAAGAAAAAAAAAGATAGTAAAATACAGATTCCACTAATCTGGCTAGGAATATCTAATTCATACAAGAGACCACAAAATCGGAATGGCAAGTTGTCCAACTCCAGTGCGCGATATATAATGGAGTTGAAAATCAATGAAAAAGCAGGTAAAGGGCAGCCATTACCATCTTTTAGTTGGGCTTGTTGCTCCATAGCTTGGAGACGAAACTTTAGCTCATTGTTTTGATTGGTTAGTCCAGCTGAATCCCTCTGTTTGTCAAAAAAGGGGGAGAAAATGATAAGTTCATTGACTGTTACCACATAAACATAATTGATTTAAGGGTTTTAGGTATCAACCTGTAACAGAGACAATAACATAAATAGTGTTGCCTATTGCAACATAAGTAAAATTAACTGGGGTTTTGGTATCATACCTGTAACAGAGTCAACTGTGCAGATAGTGTTGTGGCTTCAGTTTGCAGAGTCTGAACCTTGTGCTCCAGTTCTGAAATGTAACGCATTTTTCGTTCCTTAGAACGAGCAGCAGACTGCCGATTGGCTAATATCCTGGTTATCAACATAACAAAATGGGGCAGACTTAGAAAACAGAAGCACCACAATGAAATATATTTACAATTGTAACAACATATTTGAATCTAGATTGCTATCAGTTATTACATGCTTTAAAATTAGACCATTACCTCTATTTCCCAAAATAAACAAAATTCTCTTTCACAATTTCTCTCTTCTAGTCTTAAAATCACCAAAAATTCCTGTGTATAACTGAATATATCATATCACACCAATGACCTAGATATCCTAATTTTTCTTGAAATGATCAAGAATGAGGTTGATTTTCATATATGAAAAAAATTCTTTTTTGGGTTGTCATCATTATTTCGTGGATTTATTCTCAACAAAATGACAACTTTCAACTTCAAAATATATAAGTAAACTTGGTCATGAATTTCAGGAAAAACAAACCTTTTGGCTCGCTTGGGGTCAGTCAATGCAATCTCTGCAAGCTTCTCGTTGGCCATGATCTTCTTCAACTCTGCTCCACTAAACTCCCCATTCCCAAACTCCAAGCTGAAAGTAGCAGACCCATCCATGGAATTGCTGTGAGAGTGTCGAGCCAATCCAGTGGTAGGCCCTGGGGATGGCGGCAACTTCAGGTCCTCTCCGAAACTTTGCATCTTTCCCATAAAGCTATCCATTGATACACTTCTTGAGTGATGGGGCGCCCCAAAATTACCCCTGTTGCCCTCTCCTTTTGCTTCTTTCTTCTCTGTTGAAGAATTAGAATTCCTCCTCTGTGTACTACTACTCTCTGCCTCATCGCTACTGCTCAGATTACCATTATCCTTAGTGCCATTCGCCTTAGTCCTACTTGCTCCACTCTCAAAATCCTCATTACTTTCAATGCATTGTTTTTCGCCAGGCCCCAAATTAAACCCATCAACTTGGTCTAAATTCATATATGCCGAGAACAAATCTTCAGCCACATCACCCTCTGATTTCCTCTCTCCCATGCCCTCCAACTGACCATCACTTGCCCGATCCCAATCTGCCTCTCTCTTCACCAATTGCCCAAGCTTTCCTGGTTGATCTCCAAAACCCACTCCAAGGCTCTCTTTTCCTTGAATCCCACTTGAAGAGAACCCCAAGGAACTAGACGAAGAAAATCCAAATGGGATTTCACTATGAGATCGCCTGTGCAATTTCCTAGGAGTGAAACTCTCACCAATTCTCAAAGAATTGGGTCTTGGAAAAGGAGAAGGTGGGTTTCGAGAACTTGTACAATTAGGGGGTCCAGTGTCGCGATCTTCCATTGAGACATCCGTTGAAACTGGATCAGAAGTAGAAGAGGAGTCTCGATATGGCGAGGGGCTAAGAGGAGGAAGCGAGTCTAGAGAAAAGAATGCAGGTTGAGATAAGGATCTAGAGTGAGAAGGAGAAGAGTGAGTGTTTCCAAAATGGGGGCCGGGGCTTTGTGAATTGGTGGTGGGTTGAGCAGGAGAACGAGAGGAATATGGTGAAGCAGGTGGAAAATGGGGGTGAGAAGGTGGAATACCAATTCGCTTGTTCTCTGAACTATAATTTGGAGAGAAATTACGGAGAGGAGCACGCATTTGAGAAGTGTTTAGTTGGGGAATCTCAAGTTTCTCAGGGTTTTGGAATTTAGGGATGGAAGATGATGAAGTTGCAAAAGAAGATTGCAGTCGCTGCATCAGATCATTCCTTGTATCTTCTGATTCTTCCATTTCTATCACAAATTGAAACCAAAAGACAACAATTTTTGAATTTAGATAAAATTAACCAGACAATTCCCTATAACTCTGTTCACAAATGCATGCCCTAGAAATACATTCACAAACAATGCTCACTCCATCAAATCAAAGCACACTCAAAAAGATCAAAGTTCCCTTTACCCTCAACATCAAGTTCACACTCTCCAAAGCCGTCACACCCTAAATGCCATTACTGTTCTGAGCTAAATTTCCATCATTCTCAAATCTCTAAATTTTCATAACTCTAAATCTCCACAACATTAACCAAAACATGCGCTATAAAAAAATAAACTCTCCATCCATAATAAAACCCTATTTTCTCTAAAACTAAGAAGATCCTTATAAAAAAAAATGATAATTTTCACATACCTGACCTCATTTCCTAACTAATCAAGCAATGCTGAGACCTTCGCTAAAATCACCGCTAAAACCTCCGTTAAATATGGCGGAAAACATACAACTTTGTCATGGATTCTGACCATTAAAACTCGCCAAAATGCAACTTTTTCAACCAAGAAAAATACCAGCCTTCTTTGTTCTTGTATATTAAAGCAGCGAGTGCTACAAAACCGTGTCTGAGATCTTGATATATCCAAATTTCGCGTTAATTTCGGTGCGGTTTCATTTGTATTTGAGTTTGAATTTAGGCCGAGTTTCATTCCGACCGCATGCCCTTTTAGGGGAAATCCATGATTCAATAGTGGGAGTGTACAATTAATTCCCAAAAATGTTCCTAGCAAATAAACAATCCCCATGTATACATTTCACGCCTTGCCTTTTAATGTGGGGTTAGCACCCCTAATTAAATTGGGTTAATCTATTTAAATTTCTTATTTACGTGCGGTTTGGGTAGGGTGTCAACTTTAAACAATCCAAATAAGACTTGTCTCTAAACTTGTTGAAAGATTTAGTTTTAGCGTAAAATTTTTCAATAATGACCTAAAAATTTATTTTCACATCTATAAAAGTAAAAAAAAATGATACGGATCGAGTAGATATATTAACACTATTTAAAAAAAAAAACGGACGGACTAGATAATATGTTATAAAATATATAATTTTTAGAACTTGAAATTCTTTTTTTCTTGTGCATCCATAAATCTTAAGGTCAATGTGATCAATTGGAGGCTTTTTCAGTATCACAACAACTTGTTTTAATAATTTTTGAAGCATGGCTTACTTCTATAATATAAGGTTGACACTATATACAATCACTCTATAGAAACTTGTTCTTTCTTATTTAATCTATACAATTTTAGTTATATGTAAAATTATTGTACATTTTTTGAGATATTTAAGTGTTGGATTGATCATAACTTAAGTGCATGGATAAGCGAATGGATTGTATGTAAAATGAGCGGTAACATATGCATTGTGAAGCTCTAATTCATAAAGTTTTGTATTATAAAGTATTGTTTTGTTTTATTTTTAACTATTGTATTTCAAGATAAAACAATTTAATATTCTTGAACTTTATGACACACAAGCTATCAGATTTCATATCAAATAGTTATAAGTAATTGTGACCTCATTGTACCAACACTTAAATGATCCCACTATATACAATCCCATTTACTATCCTATGGTGAAATCCCTTGATTTCTTGTATTTTAGAAAGCCAAAGTCCTTATTACAATTTGACATGGAAAACTATAATAGATGCAATAAACCGATCAGTTATTAACAATTGTACAACCAGCCAGCCTATTGGATTGTGAACCATTTGATTTAAGTGGACACCACTAAGATCTTGCTCTCCATGTCCGTTGGCCAAGAGCTAGAGACAAATATAACCTAATTGTGTTCAACCTAAGGGTATAGTTTCAAGGAAAAAGTTTATATAAGGATGCAACTTTATAACGCAGAATTTCGTATGCACCTCAAAAATCCATCGAAAAGTAGTTTTATTGTTGAAAAACCCTTTGATTGATCATCTTGACATCGAGATGTATGGCCATGAAAAATAAAAATATTTTAAGCCTCAGAAATAATGCATTTTACAACATATTAACTACACCATCCATTTTCAAGATTTTCATATGTTTATAGACCTACTTGATTTTAACCATTTTTTAGATTTAAAATTTTATAATTAAATATAAAAATAGATTTTGAGATAATCCTAAGAACATGTTATATCAAGATTATATACCATGATAAAATTTGAAAGTGCACCTTACATCTACAGCTACGGATGCATCTGTATGCCAACTGTACCCTAGTTTCAATAACATAGTTCATACCAATCACAAATAAACACAATTATCACTAACAATGTTAATATAGATAATAGTAAAGTTGCACCTTGAAAATCCTGTCAAAAAATGTTGTCTTAGTGATGGAAAATTTGTTGTGTCTTAAAAATTTATTTCTATTCTTCATCATCAAATTTGAAACTATGAACATATTGTAGAAGTGGTAGATCTGTGCATGACGGCTTTCACGCTAGGCATTGCTTCTTGCTTAGCGCTTGAAATGGATAGTCACAACACACAAAAAATATCATTTTTAGCGTTTGAAATCAATTTCTATTCCATATCCATAATTTTTGGATTTTTGGGTGAATCAAAGGGTGTTAGGGCCCTAACCATTTTATTGAAAATCATGTCGCTGATATCAAAAGACTACTTTGAAGGTTTTTTTTTTTTTGAGCAATTATCAGTTTGAAGGTTCTCAGCACCAGTACTACATTCTTAGCTTACTTTTAGGGTGTAGCTATACCTTTTTATTGTAAAGCCTAAGCCTTATATAATATTTTATCCTTAAATTAATGAATAATATGGAAATCCTATAGAAATTTGTCTTTTAACACCACAGTTTCTAATATTAGAGACCATTAGCCATAAAAATGATGATTTTAAATATTTTTAGAAGGAAAACATTAAAATGTAGAATTAAGGTGCACCTCTAAAATCTTTTGAAAAAAGTTATTTTGATGTTGGAAAAACATTTAATTGATCATCTCCACATAGAGATGTATAGATATGAAGAAAAACATATATTTTAAGTTTTAAAAATAGTACATCTTGCAACACAACCATCCATTTTCAAGATTTTCATGCTTTTATAGATCCATCTAATTTGAATCATTTTTTAAATTTAAAATGGTATAATTATAAATAAAATTAGATTCTTACATCATCCTAAGAATTTTTACACCAAAACAACATCTCTTGAAAAAATTTGGGGAAGCACCTTAATTTGATAATTAAGGTTGCAATCTAACACAAACCACACCTTTTTTTTTATTAGAGTTAATTACATATGGACCCTATATAAGTAGGGAAAATACTATATGCTTTCTTTATATACGAATATTACATTAAAAATCGATCAATGTGACTTTTTTTTTTTTTGACGAAATTACCTATCGGTCCGAGGATGCATTTTCGAACCCCATTTTTTTTTCAAAACTAAAGTTGAGGTCAGAGGATGAAATTCTCAAACTTGTTTTTTTTTTTTTCAAAACTTAAGTTACGGTTCGAGGTTGTTGCGGGCCGAGAATTTTAACTCGGATTGAAAGTTAAGTTTTGGAAAAATAAAAAAAATAAAAAAAATAGAGGTCCGAAGATAGTATCCTCATATTGAGGGGTAATTTTATTATAAAAAAAAAATCATGTTGACCGATATTGATTGTAATTTTTAGGTATAAATGGAGCAACTCATATTTTTCTAACTTATTTAAGGTCTGTACCTAAATAACTCTTTTTATTACAATAATTTTAAAGTTTTTTTTTTGACAATGTTAAATACATATAACATAGCAGAAATTAAAGCATCAGATTACAATAATTCCAAAGATTTACACTTTGTTTCTCTGTGCCCTTGCCGTCAAGAATGAATGTTATTCAAAGGCACATTATGGTATTACAAATATAACGATGGTAAATTCGGACAAGTCCCCATTATTTTGACCCTCTTTACTCTGTGTTTTGTCGGCAGGTGGTGTCAACGTCAAGTAATGGCACCGTCCCCTCGTGCATTTAACCGTCGATTTAATGGCGATCCACATGCCCGTTAAGTCCTCCCCTCGTTATTTCCTCGTCCCTCTATTTTCAAATCACAAAACACAACATTTTCCATAAATCAACGGCGATCCCTAGGCCAACGCCGTCAATCGTCACAGTCATGCCACGTGTGATTTCCCACACATTTAACGCCTTGTGATTCCCGCTTCGGGAAAGGACTTGGATACCACCCTTTGACTGTAGGCTGGCTGATGTGGCAGACCTTTTGGGCCCATCACGAGGTTTTGCCACGTGGTATGACACTTATGTACAAGTGGACAAGAAGTTCATTGGTGCGCGTGGACTTGGATGAAGGAGGAGTGGCTCGTGATAATGGGGACTTTTGGGGAAAGGGGGACCCACTTTCATGAAACGGGTTGTCTTCCTTATCGCCGCTATTTAAGGATCTTCTCCCTTTTCCTCTTCAAGTTCTTGAATTGAATGCCCCTCTCTAATGGCTGTTTGATAACCAGAAAGTAATTGTTTTTGAAAATGGAAAGTTTATCTTTTGTTGGAAACAAAAAAAGTTACCGTAAAAAGTTATGAGTTTCTGTCTTTAACGACCTGCTCGAATGTTAAAAAAGTTTTAGATTTTTTAAGTTTTTGCGTTTGATACCCTGCTGGAATATTATACAATGAAGAATAGTGAAGCAGACATGATAGGCAAAGAAGAACCAGGGCAAATTAATCTTTTGATATCAGCAGTGATCTAACAATAAAGGTTAGAATATTTGCCTTCAAGATTTAGAATAGAAAATTGCATAAATCAATGCAGTAGCAAATAATTGTAGAGCTAGCCATTAAATCTTGAACAGAATTCATTCTATGCAAGAAGCCAAGTAATAATAAAGAAAAGTAATAAACTAAATGGGACTGCTAAGAAGTCAAGTAATCCAAAAATTTCTATGATATGTACATGCTAATTAAAATTGAGTATTAGTATGCATAAATACAGTCATAGACAATTTAAGTGTTGACACAAATGTCCATGACGTCTCACATGATTTAGCCTACAACTGTGGGTTGGAGGAATCCTATGTTTTGTTATAATTATCCATAATTATATATATTCTCGAACGTTAATATAGATGAGTTGGATGAATATCCCTAAGAGATTGGAGAAAGATGAACGTTAGCCCTTCTTCTCCGTATAAAAATGAGAAGCCAGAGAGAGGAAGATACAAAAAAAAAAGAAAAAGAAAATAAGAAGGGTACATAGCTGCATTTGTAAACATATAGCTTTTCATCTCTCTTTCTCTAAAACGTAAAAAGGTTCATAATTTAAAATCTGGGCTCTACAATCTTCAGCCTCGCGGCGACCCTCCTCTTTGATCTCGGGTTTAGTCTCATATGCACAATCAATGTTTTACTAACACTGGTATCGGAGAGATCCAGGTTGCATCTTCCTTCTTTTTTTTTCCTAAATTATTTTTAATGATAGAGCTTATGTGATTTGTTACGATCTATGCCCATTTTATTTTTTTTAATGATCATTTGTTTGTGGTTCTCACCGACTCAAGGGTGTATTTTCACCATTAAGGCCAGTATATCACCTGTTGC